ATGCAAAGGCTGAAACTCCACCTGAAATGAAAAATAGGGCAGAAAAAGGCCTAGGACCTAGACTTGAGCCATCAGTTATAGAGGTTGAGGAGGAGCAGTTGGAGGAGGAGAGCAAGTGCTCTTCCAGTTGCCGCATTTCTCCACTTTCCTTTACTCTGAGGATTGCCTCCGAAATGTCAAATGTCAGCGGAGAACCTTTCGGAAACACCTGAAGTAGAGAACCAAAATATACCCAACATTAATTCAATGAAAATATATATATATATGTTAACAAAATACTCGGTTTCAGAATCTTGTAAGAGAGAAGAATGGTAGGGATTACAAAGCCAAAACCACCGAGCTTGAAGGTAGGTCCTGTCATGGTGTACCCTGTGCAATACTTTGCAAGGAAGACTTTTGCATGAGGGACAACAAAGAAAGCTGCTTTAATATCTCCCTTCTTAAAGGCGTCCGGATAGTCATTAATAGAATCAATTTTCTTGATGTTTTCTGCCTTAAAACCAATGACATTGATCAAATACCTCACAATAAACGAATTCCCATTACACCCAACGGGTGCATTTGTTCTCAGAAGTGTCTCAATATCTGAAACAGATGGTTGGAGGCGCGAGATTGTCAACATGGAGGTGAGACTTGCAGTGAAACCTGCTGTTATAATTAGAATAGAAAACAGCCATGGCGCCAGCACAAATCGAGATAAATTGCTCCTTAAATGTTCTCCTGCAAATGATAATTATTTCAGAGTTCTTTTCTACATGATAAAGACATACAGGGATCAAAGGAAAGGGTAAAATGACTTCGACTGAGACTTACTTTGCGCGAAGAATATGAGGGTGACAGAGAACCAAAGCATTGCCCCAAACCTATTGAGTTCAGGGTTATTTTCATGCTCAATTAGCCAAATAACACATCCTATAAAAATGTGCATTGTTATAGTTATTAGCCACATTCTCCTTGAAAAGGTGTCCATGAACATCCATACTTCTTCTGACTTATCTTGTTTTACAGTGACTACCATAATAAGTCCAGATTCAGCATATGGCTGTGAGAACTCGGCATACTGACATCTATCTGCCATTATATCTGTATCTCCAACTGCTGCATCTAATCCCTACTAATTTACAAGAATCTATGATCAAAGTTCTCCATCCGAAGTTATGAATGACAATAACATGGTCAAACATTTAAAGCAGCATTTTATAGTCAGAAACAGTTAAAATATTGGAATTTGCCACAGGGGGAAGAAGAAATCTAACCTTGCGATACACTTCTTCCACCATTTCGTCATATGTGCCAATGAATGGAACCAATTCGTAAGGCAATTGATAACGCAGATACTTAACAACTGCTTCGAACACATCAATTGAAAATCCAGTAACATACGAACCGGTCTTGCCTTGATCATAGCTCACTTTCACAAACTGCTTAAAGGCACCCCTGGCAGGAACCCCTATTTTCAGCGGTTTCTCCTCATCACCGATAGTCCATCCCTTTGGAACAGTTTGCACACCACCAGGCCACTGAATTGAGCCTAATTCTTTCATAGCCCCGTTGCCAAAGCTGGTGTTCACTTGTTCATGTCTGCCAGAGTTTTCTGTGAATCCAAACTCCGGAGACCAAACTGCTATTTCGCTGTAGCTTTTGCCCACCACATTAAAGATCTGAAAGGTTGTTGGATGTTGTGATAATGTGACTTTATTTAATCTTATTTTTCCACTAAAACCTTCATAATTGGTTGATAATATTTCTCTATATAATTCTTTGGATGTGGCATTTGCTTGTGAATTCTCCAGGGCTTGAGCAATGGTCCAAGCTGCATCATAAGCTTGGAGAGCAAAAATACTAGGGTTAGAATACTCTTCTTCGTCAGGGTATCTTGTGCCATAGATCCTTCGGAATTTCGTTTTGAACTGTCTAAAAGACTTGCTAGAGTCTATAAAATTTGTTCTAATTCCAAGTACACCTTGCATTTTATAAAGAGTTGAAGAATCAAGAATGCTTGCAATTTCATCTGCGACAATCCACACATAGCCTTTCTCCATCATAGCCATTTGCTTAGCCTTCTCAAAAAGCAAGACAGCAAACCGTAACGATGATTGTACGACTATGAAGACGCTGTTGCTCTTGCTCTTCAGCTTCCTTAGCTCTTCTTCTATGGTACCATTTTGGTCTGAAACAGATGACAGAGGTGGGAAAGCTAAGTGATGTTCAACCTCTGAACCAACTACTCGAAGTGAATCGGAGAGTAGGGTTATGAACCCGGAATCACCAGAAAAATCATTGTTGTGTTCGTAAATTGCAGTGATTTTTCGCCACCGGAAGATTTCAACTAGTGCTGCAATGCATCTTATGTTGAGGTTGATGTCATTACTGAATTGGATGAAAAATGGCAATTGGTTAGGCATTGACGTTGGTATGGTGACATGTGAAGTTAGGGATATGATGGGTATATCATTTGTTGTTTTTTCGATCTCGGATACTATAATTGCCTCCTGCTTTCTGATTGCCCCAATCACTGCTTGCACCTTTTCAATACCAATGAGCTCTAACGCTGCAACAGACGACGTTGTAGGATTTTAAGTCTGTTAGTTGCTAAGAGTAACGCCTTATGTGCTCGTGCGTTGTGGTGGCTCACAAGCAGTGAAACAGGAATTCAGCATTTTAATTTGTTCCTGGATATATTGCATTTTGTTTTCATAACTTAAAATAATTATATATTTTCTTTCACCTTCAGCAGCAAGATGGATATAATTATTGTTATTTATATCGTATAATACATAATGCGTATCATATGATACATTCTAATATCAATAAAAAATAATAATATATTTTGATATTTATATCATATTTGATTAAGTATCGAAAATAAATCGTACTATATTTAATACATATTTTATGATATAATATAATCAATACGTCTTTTATAAACTTAATTCTATTAAATTATTACAAATTTATTTATTTATTTATTTAAGTTGAAACATGGAAAACTATTATTTATGAGTCTACATTTTTCAGATTTAAATTTTAAACAAAAAAATATATAATAAAAAAATTAAATTCTTTTTTTAATTAAATATTTTAATACTTTTTAATTTTTAATTAATAAATTAATATAAAATATATATCTTTTATCTAAAAATATATACAAAGACTATATTAAGAGTTTAAATTTTAAAAAAAATTCTTTCAATTTATATCCTATAATCTTCAATCTTATTAATAATAAATATAATATTTTTAAATTCTTTTTTTATTTTACATACGTAAATGTTATTTATAATTAATTTTAAAATTTTTTATCATATATCTTAAGATACTTTATACTCAAAATGTGTCTCGATTTAACAACTACATGATTCCCTTATCTTCTCCTCTCTAGTCTATGATAGTTAGAATGAAAAATTACCAGAAGAAGCTGCTCGAGCTGAGCTTCCATTTGTATCTTTGAAGCACAAAACCAGGTGCCCTGAGCAAGTTGAGTGATGGAAATCCTGGATTGCCATTTCCATTGCTATTCTCTGCTCTTTCCCTGCACGGGAGCTGTAGTCAATAACGACACCTATTCTTCTGGTTATCCCAGGTTTCCTTACACAGTCATCCCCTCTTTGATTAGCTTCAACAGTTGGTTCCTTCATTACCAGCAAAAGCAGGAAGAAAGATAGGACAAGAGACATGTTTTAAGTATTCAGACACTTGCCGAAAAGCAAGCAAATTCAGGCAATAACGTACCCCAGATAATTGGAGACACCAGGGAAAGGACCTTTAAGAAGAAGTAGAAATTGGCTTAAGAAATAAGAATGGCCATTGAGCGAGTTAACTAATAGTTTCTTCAAAATCTAGAATTATTCTTTCCAAGTTTTCTTGAAATGGATGCAATATGTATAGATTATGGACTTTTCTCTTATCTGGTGGTAACCACCGAAACTTCTCACGCCCTCAACCTTTAAATTATATGTATTGAAGTCCAGTATGTTTGTTTTTCCGGGTAGGTGAGGCAGTGATCTTATCTAGAATTATTCGTTCATGCAAGCAACTTGTGAGCTTGGATTTCTCCCGGAGACTTGGGAGGTGCTGGCAAATATTTGGAAATTGATGATCCGACAATTTGAGTTTAAAGGGGTTTAGCTCAGTCAAAAAGGTTGAAGAAGGAACCCTGAAGCAAAGGGAGTAGAGTAAAAGCCATTAGATTACTTTGAATTCTTGGGTTGTGAGATTCTTTAACAAAATTCAACTAAATGCATTTCCCAATTACCAAATTGGAGTCATAAATAATGGCTCACTAAAGTCAACAATCATATTTGGTTCCCCTCAAAACAAAAGTCAACAATCATAGGTGAATGAATTTTGGTTCAGTACAGTTTGGGATGGTACCGGCAATTGGTTGAGGATATTTTTCCAACTCTTATTATAATATATTCAATATTTCAGATAGTTACAATCACGTAGAGATGGGAGATATGTACAACTATATGTTTAAGAAGTCTCTACTCTCTACCCTTTCCATTTTTCAAACTCATGGAACTTGGTTCTATGTCATCAAAATACAGCCGGTATTTCTCTGAAAGAACCCAAATGTGACATGTTGGCAACATGCGGTGAGAAATGTGAATACCCATCTTCGGGTTCTGCTTAGCTTGGCCTGTATGAAATGGTTGTGCCTTCTCCCCAAACGCACGGCAGTGAGTAGGAAAGCAAAGGCTGAGACTCCACCTGAAAGTAAAAATAGGCCAGCGAATGGGCGAGGACCTAAGCTTGAGCCCTCGCTTATGCCGGCAGTAGAAGAACAGTTGTAAGAGGAGAGCAAGTGTTGTTCCAGTTGTGGCATTTCTCCATTTTCTGTTACTTTGAGGATCGCCTCCGAAAAGTCAAATGCCAAAGGAGAACCTTTTGGAAATACCTAAAGCAAAGAAAAAATGTTATGTAAAGGACAAATGAATGACAATGGTTAGATATGTTGATGAGAAAGAAGGATTTGCAGGAATTACAAAGCCAAAACCACCAAGCTTGAAGGTAGGTCCTGTCATGGTGTACCCTTTACAATACTTCGCGAGGAAGACTTTTGCATGAGGGACAACAAAGAAAGCTGCTTCGATATCTCCATTCTTAAAGGCATCCGGATAGTCATTAATGGAATCGATTTTCTTTATGTTCTCAGCCTTAAAACCTACGACATTGGTTAAATACCTTAGAATAAATGAATTCCCATTACATCCAACAGGTGCATTTGTTCTCAGAAGTGTTTCAATATCTGAAACAGAGGGTTGGAGGCGTGAGATTGTCAACGTGGAGGTGAGACTTGCAGTGAAACTCGCTGTTATGATTAGAATTGCAAACAACCAAGGTGCCAGCACAAATCGAGATAAATTACTCCGCAGTGGTTCTCCTGCATGTTATAAACTTTCAGAGTTGCTCTCTTCTATATTAGGGACATGCAAGGACATAATTCAACACTTGATGACTTTAACAGAGACTTACTTTGCGCAAAGAAAATGATGGTGACAGAGAACCAAAGCACCGCCCCAAACCTCTTGAGATCGGGATTCTCTCCATGTTCAATAAGCCAAATGACAAAACCTATGAAAATGTGCATTGCTAAAGTTATCAGCCACATTCTCCTTGTAAACGCCGTCATGAACATCCATAGTTCTTTTGACTTATCTGGTTTCACAGTGACTACCATAATCAGTCCAGATTCAACGTACGGCTGTGAAAACTCTGCATACTGATATCGATATGCCATTATTTCTGTATCTCCAATTGCTGCATCTAATCCCTACTAAGAATTTACATGAATCTATGTCAGTGTTCACCATTGGAGGTTACAAATAACTATGACGTGGTCAAACATTTGAAGTGTAGCAATTTCCAGTCAAATATGGTTCGTTTTTGGAATTTGCAAAGGAGAAAGAAGAAATCTGACCTTGTAATGAACTTCTTCCACCATATCGTCATATGAGCCATAAAATGGAACAAACACATAAGGCAATTGATAAGGAAGGCGCTTAACAACTGCTTCGAACACTTCTACAGAAAATCCTGTGACATATGAACCATTCTTGTCTTGATCATAACTCACTTTCACAAACTGGTTAAAGGCACCCCTAGCAGGAACCCCAATTTTCAGTGGCTTGTCTTCTTCGCCTGAAGTCCATCCCTTGGGAACAGTTTGTAAGCCGCCAGGCCAATAAATCGGGCCTAATTCCTTCACGAAACTGTTGCCAAATCTAGAGTTCTCTCCTTCATGTTTGGGTTTTCTGTGAGAGTTTTCGGTGAATCCGAACTCTGGTGACCAAACTGCTAACTCTCTGTAGCTTTTACCCACCACGTTAATGATCTGAAAGGTTCGATGTTCCAATAATGTGGAATTTTCGAATCTCACTCTTCCGCTTAAACCTTCAAAGTTACTTGATAATATTTGTTTAAATAATTCTTTGGATGTAAAATTTGCTTGTAAGTCCTCCATGGCTTGAGCAATTGTTCGAGCTGCATCATAAGCTTGGAGGGCAAAAATACTTGGGTTAGAATACTCTTCTTCTTCAGAGTATCTTATCCCATAGTTCTTTCGAAATTTTGTTTTGAACTGTCTAAAAGACTTGCTAGAGTCGTTAAAATTGGTTCTGAAACCAAGTACACCTTGCATGTTATAAAGAGCTGAAGAATCAACAGAATCAAGAAGGCTTGCGATTTCATCTGTGACAATCCATACATAGCCTTTCTCCATCATAGCCATTTGCTTAGCCTTCTCAAAAAGCAAGAGAGCGAACCGTAAAGATGATTGTACTACTATGAAAACCCTGTTGCTCTTGCTCCTCAGCTTCCTTAGCTCTTCTTCTATGGAACCATTTTGGTCTGAGAGAGATGACAGAGGAGGGAAAGCTACATGATGTTCAATCTCTGAACCAACAACTCTAAGTGAATAAGAGAGCAGAGTTATGAGTCCGGAAGCAGAAGAAAAATCATTGTTATCTTCGTAAATTGCAGTCACTTTTCGCCACCGGAAGTTGTTGACGATGGCAGCGATACATTGCATGTTGACGTTGATGTCATTAGCCATTTGGAGGAAAAATGGCAATTGGTTGCGCAATGATGTAGTTGCTGTGGCAGGTGAAGTTAGGGATATAATAGGCAAATCCCTGGTGACCTTTTGGATCTCAGATACTAGAGTTGCTTCTTGTGGTCTAATTGTTCCGATTATGGCTTGCACTTTTTCACTACCAACGAGCTCCAATGCTGCAGTATATGTTTGAGGATTTAAATTGTGTTTTTAGATGAGGGTTAAAGCGCGGTGTGCTTGTGCATTGTGGTGGCTCAGAAGCAAATTCAAGTTGGGAAACTTCAGATAGAGAAATTCAGCCATCAAATCCTGACAAGTTTATGCATATTAGAATAAGTAATTACCAGAAGAAGCCGCTCGAGCTGAGGTTCCCTGTGAGTCTTTGAAACGAAAAATCAGCTGCTTCGAGCAATTTGAGCGATGGAAATCCTGGATAGCCATTTCCATTGCTATTCTCTGCTCCTTCCCGACACGAGAGCTGTAGTCAACAACGCCACCTATTCCCCTGGTTATCCCACGTTTCGTTACACAGCTATCCTCTTTTTCCTTTGCTTCAGCAGGTATCCCCATCGTTAATAGCAACAGCAGGAAGAAAGGTGCGACACGAGACATGTCCAAGTCTTGAGAGAATCACAAACCCTTGTAAACTAAAAGCAGGAAAATAACTCAAAAAGGGTTTCTAAATTCAAGCAACTTCAAGCAATGCTGTGACCCGGACAACTGGAATTACGCCGGGGATATCAAGGACCTTTCTCAAACAAGTAAACGCACCGAAGATCTTACTTGCGAATCTTCATTTAGCCTGTGCTGAATAGTGGTTCAACTCTAGTTAGAACTAGAATTAATATTATTCTTAAGTCAACCCACGATACCCTACAATTTTGAAGAAGTTGGTTGCCACCATTTACACTTAGTGAAGACCCAAAAGGTAGAAGAAGGAAATCCCAACTGAACAGAGTAGACAAAGGGCTATACCATTAATTTGAATTGTTCAATGGGGTTGAGATTCTTCAATAAAATTTTCAAAAGAAAGATGGACTATTACTAAAATCTCAAGTTGTGCTGTTGCTTTCTTTATCAAATTTTTTTTCCAATTATCAATTGGAGTTATCGGTAATATTGTTTATTACTAATGTCACCAATGATGGGTGAGAGAATATATAAATTAGGTCTAGTTTTAGATATTATGGGCAATTATTATTAATTTCGAAATATATATCGTATATGATTAATTTTTAAATTTTATAAACAACCAATAGTCTCACATATTATTTAGTACAAGCTTTTTAGTGCATTTCATACTAATGAGATTGGCTCTAATTTAAGAGGGGGGGGGGGGAATTATTTTTACTTAAGCAAGTACAACTTCGGTTAATATTCAAAAGATGGTATTTAAAAATGAAATAAAATATGCATAATATTTCATTATTATTTTTCTTTAATATTTTTCTACTAGTGAGATATCCAAAAATGAACTTTAATTAGTGTCTCAAACTAAATAAATCTAGAAAATAGAATAAAGTAATGCCAAAAATCAATTTGATCAAGTCCTAACCACATATTGGGCCTTAGCGGGCCATATTAATGAACCCAAGGGCCGTTACCGGCCCAAAGATAATAACCAAACCAAAAAAAAAGGCCAATAATAAAGGCGCCTAGCTGGACAAAGAGGCGGTCTCAGCAGTCACCATTTTATCAGCTAAGATTTCCCTTCCAATGGCAAAACGCTCAGCATATTTTTCATGAGCGTTGATAATGTGACCGTTAACTCGTCCGATTCTTTTTTCCAACTACTGCAAAACTCACTGACTCGCTGAACTCGTCATGGCTTCGGTTCTCAAGCCACCACCCTACTTTCACCGTAACTGTATCTCCATCTCCTCCTCTTCCTCCCCTGTGATCTTATCTTCTCCCTTCCAGCGAACGACGTCGCTCCAAGTTCGCTTTTGCGCGTTGAGGACCGGGTCCGACGGGGGAAGAATCGGGAGCCAGGAATCTTACGGGGCCGATATGCTAAGGAAGCCGAGCATATTGCCACCGAAGGACAGTGGTGGAATTTCGGAAGAAGAAGAGGGCGGTGAGGGCAAAAGAAAGAGAGGTAATTGGATTGATTGGGAAGATAGAATTTTAGAGGACACGGTTCCTCTCGTTGGCTTCGTTAGAATGATTCTTCATTCTGGCAAGTAAGTGATTTCATTTCTTGGCCTTATTTATATTTTATCTAATTCGAGTTTTCGAAGTTGTTAAAATAAAATGTTTTTGATGGTAATGTTGTAAATTTATTGCAGATATGAAAGTGGAGATAGATTAAGTCCAGAGCATGAAAAGACGATTCTCGATCGGTTGCTTCCATACCACCCAGAGTGTGAGAAGAAAATTGGATGTGGAATTGATTATATTACAGTATGTTTCTTTTGCTTTTCGAGTTTCTATCTCTGGTATTTATTATAATTTATCAAGCTTGAGCTAACCAATTGAAATAAGTCATACTTCTTTTGAGGGTGCTGACTATTTGTCTTTATTTTTTTTTTAATTTTTGTTGATTTTAACTGCATATATAGTCTTCGTTAAATTTGAACACTTTGCCTTGTTAACAACTTGATATAGTGGAGGCAAAATAGCGAACATTTGTGCTTGCTCAATAGCTCGTTAGAATGGACAAAATTTCGTGAATTCATACTTAGTTTTAGTTAGAAAGATTATAGGCTAATCAATTAGTGGAATTTCTACTCTGGGTAATTCACATTTAATACTGACAAAGCATTCACCTTACCTTTCTGCTTTAGTTTTCACCATTCATTTGGTCTTCTTTTTTTCCTCCAGCCTATGGAGAATCATCACTTAAAACTTTTGTTTTCTGTAATTGTATCTCCTCCATGGCTTCATGCTTCTCACTCCTTGGTGAGAGAGCTTGATTCCCATGTAGCATCATGCAGGAACTATTGTTATCCCTAACTTTGGATACCTGTTATAGTTTCCAAATGATTCCTATTATGTTATTATTATGTGGACAAGAGGTGATCATGGACTTGGTTAATGTAGTAACCCAGCAAGATCAATCTATGCTTGTGTCTGTTTTAGAGTTATCTTCGGTTGTTACAGTGATTTCTATGTGAGGATATATCTTATTTATTAGTTTTCTTGTGTTTGGAAATGTGCAAATCTGTAATATTACCATTGCTTTCATTACCTTTATGTGGTGAGACAACCTATTCAATATTGAATCAAATTTTGTATTTAAATATTAATTAAATCCTTTCTGTTCCATAAAAGTCTAAACCTTGTTAATAATTTTATGTTCTGCAGTAAATGCTGCACATAATCCGAATTTTACTAAGGGGATGGCACATGATATTATTGGTTCAAAATTCTTTCTTAGACTGCTTAGTTGCTCTTGATATCTCCATTAACATGGATAGCATTGCAACTTGCACAGATCACCATGGTCCAAAAGCCACATTGTATTCAATTTTCGAACAAGAATCTTCTTCAAATTTTAAAAAGAGGTCACTTCAACGGGTTTCAATCTTTTAGGGATTTGGGGTGATGCAGGGTCTCTCCTGTCGATGTTTTAAAAAACAGAATGAAAGCAATAAAACTACAAGACCAATGAGCAGGCATGCAAAATTGAGGGGGAAAATCAACTAAAAGAAAGGAAACCTCTTAAGTAATTAAAATTTTTTATTATGGTATTTACACAAGTTAAATGGTACTGTGGCCCATTTGGCCAACTTTTGTTAATTAAGTAAATGATGAACGCATCTCATTTTTGGTTCACAGGTTGGTTACCATCCTGACTTTGAAGGCTCAAGATGTTTGTTCATAGTTCGAAAAGATGGAGAAATGGTTGACTTTTCTTACTGGAAATGCATCAAAGGCCTGATCAGAAAAAACTATCCTCTATATGCGGACAGCTTCATTCTCAGACATTTTCGACGGCGTAGACGGAGTTGATGAGGGTAATATTCTGAACTTGTCAACCACTTTATGTTATTATGTCAGGTTGGTTGCCATCCTGACTTTGAAGGCTTAAGATGTTTGTTCATAGTTTGGAAAGACGGAGAACTGGTTGACTGTTCTTGCTGGAAATGCATCAAAGGCCTGATCAGGAAAAACTATCCTCTCTATGTAGACTGCTTTATTCTCAGACATTTCTGACAGCATAGATGGAGTTGACGAGGTTAATACTTTGAACTTGTCAACCACTTTATGTTGTTATGTTTAGAGGATTTTTTTTTAATTTTGTTCTTATTGTTTGTAATTTGTCATATTAATGAGCTCAAATAACATTGTAGAAATTAAAAGTAATTATTGAAAAATCTTAAAATTTGAATGGTGGGTGTAGTTTCTAGAAGCATATTCCTGAAAGATGATACTGAGTTTTGCTGATCTTAAAATTTGAATGCTGGTCTAAAAGGTCAAATGTCCATATATCCTTAATTTATGATACTTCTGTCAGGGAATTGGATTTCACTATTTTTCTGTTTTACCTCTCTTTCACGCACACACACACACACACGCATGCACATCAACATGCACACACATGCTACTTTGGCTAAACCATATTGCATCAGCTGTTCACATCTAACATCACTGTGGGAGAGAGACTTGTGATGCTATGTCATTTATTTAGGAGATAAGATTCCAGAATAGGAGTTGTGTTGCTGCGAAACAGATATTAGAAAATGGAGATAAAGATCCCTCATGATTTCAGTCAATAATGTAGCAGATGGATTGGTAGGTTCATTGCCATAGCGACCACAGTGTTACTGCTTTGTTAGCTAAAGACTATCTGTTGATATTTTGGTTTCTCTGAGGCAGTGGTGCACAATAACTTACTGCATTTGCCCCCAAGTGACGTCCTATAAAACAGAGGTCATAAAGAAATTAAGAATGTCGGTTGGAGACTGATCTGTCTTACAGATCTATTAAGTATAAACGAAGAGGCATCTACCTGAATTTCTAACCCTGGGAAACCATACTCTTTTGCCATTATAAGGCCATAGCTGAGGCCCTGAAGTTAAGCTTGAATGCAATTGCGAAAATCGAATCTCCATCATACTCATCAGGGGACATAATTACCTATAGGATGGGCCATCCTCAGACAAATGGGGTGGCGTAAAGAAAGGAGGAAAAAAAACGGGAGTTGAGCTTGATTTCAGCTTGTCTCTCTTCAACGTTACTAGTGACTAGTTTTAACAAATTGAAGAGAAATTAAAATCCATATGAACTAGGCTATTTGTAGTATAGTCTCTTTTTCTCTCTGTTGTATGTCAAAAGGTTCAAAGAGATAAGCTTTCACTAAATGGAAAAAGGAGTTGTGTTGTGGTAACGAACAACCAATTATCAACCTCATAAATTCCAACTGATGAGAGAAGGCTTCATGCTGCTCTTTCATTTGCCCTTTTCGCTCTTCCCACCTTTTCCTGTGACCTTGTCACGCTTGTTGTCTGGTACTTTGATGACTTGCGACATTTTGTCTTATTTGATGCAAGACTGTCATTACTTTGAACTGTTAGTAACAAAGAAAAACGAGCTAAGACCCAGAGTAAATTATTGAATTGTTGGTAACTGATTGATAGGAGTTAAGACCCAAAGTTACATTAGCATACTCATTAGCAAAACCCAATATTTAAATATAGTTGTCTTTTTTTTTTGTTTGGGTAGTATCATTTGAAGCAGGGCACCCGTCAGCTTTCCATCTTTACCCTAACTCTTCATGAAACTTTGAACATAAATCAGAAAATATTTGGCTGGATATGTGCAATCTGGCTTTTGCATTTATGCTAGTTTGTCTAGCAATTGGGGACAATGAGATACTCTAGTCACCCACGTCCAGGCACTTATTAGCCAAGGAAACCAAAAGGAAAAAAGCATTATATAAAAAAACAGGGTCTTGGTTGCACACGAGCTAACGTCACATTCTCATTGGTCTGGGAACTGGAAGAAAGTTTAGAATCCCATAAATTGGATGGAACCAATCCATTCTTCGAAGTTCCAAACACAGAGATGTCCAGATGCTAACAGTGGGGAAGCCACCGGGTTCTCCACCACGTGTGCGGACCAATTGACACAATAATTGATCAGCAATAGGCTCTCTTAAGAGAAATGTGGTGCGCACCAATACCCAATTATTTGGGGGATTTGGGTGATAGGTGAATACGACACGTATCTCTTTGCACCCACTCTGACCCTTAGTTCATGAAAATGATTCATATTTGTTTTTGGGTGCCATTCCCACTACTTTTTGTTCGATAAGGATTGTGGTATTTCTCGTATTCATGAACCTTTTACCTGCCACTTGTAGCAAAGAGAGAGCTTTGTCCTTGCTTTAACTGCTACTACAATGCAACTATATTGTACAAAAAGATGTCCCCATGTGGTACATAAGATATACTAGCTTGAATAATCATAATTTCTCATACTAAATCTCACTGTCTAGGTAGATTTTTATGTAATCTTATTGTTCTTTTGTTTTACATATCAATTGAGTATAGATGAGATGAGATGAGATGAGAGCTTGAGAAATCATAGTGACCATATGCTTTTTGTAAACTTAATGCTACTCTATGCATCCATCCAAGCAACCTTCGGTTGGTTCAAAGTATGCCGACATCCAATCTTGTCAGATGATCATCGTAGGGGAACCGCCCAAAAATTTTGATGCAAATACAAAGTCGACTTCTCTCCCTCTTTCTTTGCTTTCAATGTAGGAGTGTCGGAAACCCATATTTGGAAAAACAAAAAGAATCTTTAACCCAATTTTCGGAGAAAATTCATACAATTGACTTAACATGTTAAACCATGTGTTTGGTACTTTACCTGATCGACATGTGTAAAGGTTCTTTTTCAATAGTGGTGCGAGTTTTGTCTTTTTGCAAAGCTGGCTTTATTCTACAAAGCAAAACCCCACATCCTCATCTGTCACTTGAATAAGTCCAATTCATGTATAGATACAAAGGCTTGCAGCCTTTTTCCCTGTTCTGGGTCATTTGGAGGGCTTGAATAGAAGGGAGTATCTTTTTCCAATTGAGCCAATTCAATGGACTTAATTGTACCCATTTCCCCATTTATTATTCCCTTTGTAAACCTCTTATCTTGACTTTTTATTTGATCACATGAAGTATCAAACCCCACATAAACTTAAAAAAGTCCACAGTTCCCCACCGCCTTTCTATAATTAAACCTGGTAATTAGGTTTTTAAGTAAGGAGAAACATCTTCTTGTTCCCATCGTACGCCTAATTGAGGTATGCATATACCTACCAGCCACCTATTTTTATGATCAAATACTTTATATTAGCAAATAATAACATTTTCTATTATATATATATATATATATAGATATTGCGGGAAATTGTGAAGAAAAAGGAGAGGTTAATGCATTTCATTGACTAAATTTTGTTTGCAAAGGCCTTATCCTATTTAAGAGGTACAAAATTAGGTGAAAAACCGCTCTAGATGACTTAGGAAAACCTTTTTAAGAATCTTGGCATAGCTTTTGACCAATCAAATACCAAAAGGATGAGTTAGCTTAGACTAGTGATTCCATTGGCCAAATCTCAAATATAAAGTGCTGTTTTAGGTCACGCTGGTCATTGGTTGGCTTAGTTTATGCTCTATAATAATCAAGCAAGAAATTGGCAAAAAAAAGAAAAAGAAAAAGGGAAATGGATTTGAAAATTCAAGGTGTAAATATCAAAAATCAAATTGCTTTATCACGTGTACCAAAAACAATAGGGATAAACTTGGAACAAACAGGTTGTTTAGACCAAAATACCCCCCTTTCAC